ATCTCATGTTTCAATGCCATTTGACTGTAAGACAAACTCCTTAACAAACACTACCAACAACAAACGATTAAGGCTGAAATAGATTAATGGTATATCAATGTAGCATAAAATTATTTATTTTACGCACTGGAGCAATCATTTCACTGAAAACTGTCAACTGATCTAGTGCTTTGTTCTTAAGACACATCCAGCAATATTGCAGAAGAAATGAAAAAAAAGGAGTCACACAATTTAATTCCAAGCAATTTAAATTTCAGCAATTTTTGGATATCTGAAAACAAACATTTGTGCTTCTAAAAAAGTCTAGCTTTAGCTGGGGAAAAAAGTATCTTGTATCCACTTCTCCCCGCCCTCAAGAGTCCTGAATAGCAGTGAGCTCACAAAGTATGTGTGCCAGAGTTAAGGCCAGCAACACAGCAATGGTTTAACAAAGAGCACCATTTTTCTGCTTTTCGTTAGTTTTGGCTTGAAAAGGCCACACATTACTCTACCCTGCTGAACAGTTTAGCCTTTGTTCCACTTGGACTGTAAATTAATATGCTAAGCTGATGGCAAAAAATGTGTGAACCGCAAGAGCTCCAGATGACTGACAGGTAATTAGCAACTGGAGAAGCTATGCTTTGTGAATCACAGATAGGACAGGCTGTGGACGCAGCTTTCCTTAATCTTAGTCCTTTGTACTTTTGTTCGGCTACCAAGAGCAATGCGACTAAGAGAAGAAAATGTGCTATTCCCACTTATGTCAGCTGTCAGAATTTCAATGTACCCAACTAGTCTAGCATAGAGTTTTAGGGCTGGCTTGAATGTGTAATCATTAACAAAATACACACATTCAGACTTCTCAAGATGTTGTAAGAAAGAAAACTTACACTTGTTAGAAAGTGGTTTGAAAGCTCATTTCAAGGCACCTGTTTATTATCTCCAAGTAGGCAGATACTCGTACAAATATATGTATTTCCTTGACTGTATTTCATTGTTGGCTATATGCACACCAGACACGAAACATTTAATTTTAGGGTACAGTGTTTTGCTTTCCAAACAGCTTCCTCCTTCCTTCCTCTCTACAAGAGGGGAATCATACAGAGACACCAAAAACAAGGGGAAATGGTTCTGCAATTAAAAGCAGGCAGGCATTAAAAAGAAAAGAGAAAGCCGCAATGGAGGTAAAGATGAAGTTCTGTTTTGATCTAGCCAATCAGCCCCAGATGAGATCCTTGCAGTCCTAGTTGCATGAATAAAATAAGTCTTCTGTTTGCAAATTCTGAGCAGTGCTGTTAATGACAGAACCTTCTTGAGGTCATTAATTCATAATACACTCACATACATACCAATAAATACTAGTTAAATGTTCCATTTTGTGCCCTTCGCACCCTACTATCTGCAGGCTCGGGATCACAAAAAAAGCAGGAAGTTTTGAACACATTCCGTTAGTATCCATTTTGGGTTTACTAGTCTTTATTTTGGAGCTTCATTAAAATTCAAAGCTTAGAAAAATTACTTTTTTATACCAGATCCCCAGAATCCCCTCAGCCAGCATTTCCACTATTCATAACAGGCAAAGGATTTTAGGAGTTAAAGTTTAGAAATAAGGTTTCCATGCTCTGGGGCAAACCCAGTGATGATTATGGCCCAGCAGTCTGAGGTTTGAGCATATCTAGTCTTTAGGTTCCTGCCAATGAGGCAGAAGACAAGGGAAACTGGCATCTCTTCCTCTTCCTCCTTGTTTTATCTCTTGTTGCTCTTCCTCGTGCAACTGATGGGAGAGAATGAATTTAGATCACATACAGGCCCAGGCCTGGTCTACATTCCCAACCCATCTGAGGTGCTGATGACTGAAACTCTTCCTCTGACCTCCAAGTGGGATTTCTGATCTCTCCTGAAGCCCATCAGAGACCACGGGATTGCACTGTATGGTGCTGTTTGAAAGGGGGAGGGGGAATATCACATAAAGAAGTTATCAAGTCCGAGGTAATGTATTAATAGAGAAAATTGTTTTCAATGCTAGTCTAGATTTTGTGACACTTAACAAAAGTCTTAACAAAAGTCTTAATATACAATGCTCTCTCTTGCAAATGATGATGTCCAATGGCAGTTTAAAAAACATGCCAACAAACCAGTTCCCACAAAATCTGAAATCATCTGTGAAATAATAAAAAAAGCTGAAGAGCACACAAGTTTAGGTTGTAGAAATTAAATATTGTTTTTAGTATTTTCTTTGAGAACTAAGCCCCATGAGAATGTCTACAAATCAAACATTTGTGAAATCTATTAAAACTTACCTTACAATATAGTGTTTGTCTCGTTTTCTCCTTCCTCTCTCTAGCCATTTTTTCTAAAGTTGAAAGAGGAGTTAATGAAATAAAATTCAGTAGACAATTTGACCAAACTGTATAAGGGCTGGAGTTTTATCTTTCATCTCAGGCAGCAAGTTATTTCTGATCAATCTGACTACAATAGTGCAGTTTAACCACAGCACCACACTTACCCAGGTCAGTTTATTTTAAATAACCTGCATAGATTGCTTAGCTTGTCCGAACCACGAAAGGTAACAAAATATTAGAGAGGGGACATTGATATAATTCAAGCACTTTATCATGGTCATGTTATTTTCAAGGGCCACATATTAAAAGTTTCATATGACTTTCAACTTGATTTTCCTGCACCATGCCCTTGATCCACAGTTCTCTTTCACCAACATGGACTCAGGATCTCACTGCTACTCCTTCTTCGATAGCACTGGTCCTTTAATTCATTGTCCCTCGGCCTGGTTTGTAATTTCCCCGGATCTCTTTCACTGAAGACCTTACTTTGAAATGAAAAGAGTGGCTGTCAGGAAATGTCTCCTGCTGTCGCCTTCATTTTTAAATATGAGTTGTTTTTAGAAGAAGTTGCTCCATTGCCAGAGCTTTATCTGTGGAACCCACTGTGCCATGCAGCACTTACTTCATTATGTGCAGCTAATTTTAAGATCTGTGGAAGTCTTTTTGAATACCCTGCCCCAAGCAGTGCACTGAAACAATTTACGTGATTCAAAGTACAGCTGATAAATTATACATTGTCTAAAAGACCCCTCTTTCCACATGAAGACTTAAGAGAGTGACATAGAGTCAAAGCAAGAGTGGATGTTTTCCTGTTGCAGATTCTTTTGCATTCTAAAATTATATTGGTGTATATAAGCCACTGTAAGAGTACATTTTCCTGCCACTCGTCAACCGCTCAGAGACCTTCACTAGATCTAAAGAACATTTGCTAAATTACTCACTCTTGAAGAGACCGACTGTCTCAAAACATGGTGGCAACATGCTGAGTTTGTTAACCCTCATGAGATTTCTCACCTTCAGTGTGAGAAAAAGAAAAGGTTTTTTTGGGGGGGGGCAAGGGAGATTTGAAGGTTTCCACAATTTGTACAAATGTTTTTGTGCAAAACTAATGAAGCAAGGCATATATATTCTACACACACATTTGTGCATGCAGGCACACACTCAAAGGAAGCACAGAAGCTCAGGTAAAAAAGATGCAGAAATCTGTTGCTTCTGTCTATGCAACAAGGCAAGGCAGCTATCAAAATTTAGTTATACCATTTGCATCATCTGCGCAATTTGTACAAAAACTGTTATCACAAATACAAAACCAAAGATTACCAGAAAATATCTTGCATGTGGGGAAAATGTTTGCAGTTGTTGTGGGTCTAGCCAACTTGCATCCACATCGAAACATGTGGGGACAATATTCATAGGTCCTATTTGTTTGAAATCCAACTGATGGCCCCCCAGCAAGTCCATGCATATTCAGTTCCCATCCAGGTATGGAAGAGTTGCCAAAATATATGTCAATCTGGGTATGTGTCTTCAGGTATATCTTTCTCTTTTTTCTCTCTCTTGAGATATGCTGTGAAGGATAAGAAGCATCTCTTAAAAGTGCAGAAACATTTATGTGAATGTTCTTATTGAAAAAGGTAATTAAAAAGGATAGGGTGATAAACATCTAAAAGATTTGCAGGTATATTTGCTATTTAAATATGTATTTTATAGAACTATAAACATATGAAAAAAAAATTCTGCACCTCAAATGTTTGCTGCATGTGTAAATTGCATGAGATGTATAGATGCACTGAACAAACTAAAAAAGTGGCATTAAGCACATTTGCTCTTCCAAAGGGGCATTTTATGTATTATTCCCAAAATGTCCAGTAATTCAATATTTCAGAACACTTTGATATAAGAAACTACAGAGCCTCTAGTTTAATGGGTAGTTAATCATCCACTATGGTGTAGTGAATACAGCAATGGTTTAGGACTTACAAGAACTGGGTTAAACCATGGAAACTCACTGGGGGATGGGATGAAAGTGATAAAACCACTCCTTAAATACCTCATTTACCTTGAAAGCCACAGTAGGGTCTAACATGATGGCACATCACACACACAATCTTAAGTAAATCTCTATGCAAGCACTCAACTGCAGAAGCAAAGGTTAAAAGTTTGTAAAAGTGTGGGTTCCCAATCATGTGCATCTTTCCAGCCATGTTTAAATAAACAGAACGCCTTCATAGATCATGCATGACAGAGGAAAATCTTTAAAAGAGTCTGTGTATCCAAAAAAAGTCTGGGGTAGGCATTGTGTACCTTTCTCTGAAACCTGGGTATGCAGGTGAATGCTTACATGGCAGTTTTGAAGAGGCAGAAACTCTAATTATGCATGCATGGAAACCAAACAGCAGCCTGTCACCATTTTCCTGTCTCCAGGATCTGTCCTGGTGCTAGTATGCCAACCTTTAAGTACCTTAGAGAGACAAGAAACAAAAATAGTAGCAAGTATTCCACCGGATCAGAATTAGAACCCCTTGGTGCTGAGCTTGACCTCATTTCCATGGCACATATCATTGCACGTGCATTATCTTGGCAATATCTGAAATCAGGACATTAGTTTAAATGCACATTACATTCATTTAACAAGGTTTTTTTATTATTATTTGGATTATTTTTTCAACATACAACTTCATGTAAGCTACAAAAGTTGTGATATGTAATAAAAATGGAAAACTAAAAATAAGAGGGAATAACCACTAAATTTTGATTTTTTTTTAGAAAAGGAATACAAACATATCTCTTTCCTTAACTAAGGTGATCCACATTTTGATGTATTATTTAATAAAACATAGCATACATTTGAGAAGGGACAATAACATTAAAGAAACTAATTCTATCAACAGCATGAGGAACCATTCATTGTTCATGGTTAAGAGACAGAAATGAAACCTCTAGGCACAGTTTGGGGCATTAGAGAGGACACAGAGAGGCAATAGGTTAGTGTGCAGTGTTCTGTACAAAAATACAGTCTGAATAAATTACATTGCTAGCCATAAGATCAAACTTCACTTGTCAGTCATTTCATGGCATGTTTAATAATATTCAGTTTACATGCTAATCTGTATATTTATTTATTTATATTTATATTTATATATATCTCTCACTTATATTTCAAACACATAGATCTCTCTATATTTATGTCTTTAAAATTTACATGTTGAGCTTACAAAAGCTAAACGTAATTGTGCAAGAAATCCAAGAAAGGTGCTACATAACTTGTCAGCACCAGACGGCATACTTTAAGCTTTAAAAGTACAAAGATCTAGCCCTGGTTGCAACATACGTGTGTGTGTGTGTGTGTGTGTGTGTGTGTGTGTGTGTGTGTGTGTGTGTGTGTGTGTGTACACATACACACATATTTGTAAGATAAAATAATACATGTATGAGGCAAAAATTAATCCTGTCAGTATACAAAGCCAAATAAGACAGAAGTGCTAACCCTTAAATAGAATGATTATACATTAAAATGTGGCCTTTTACACAACGACCTAAGTATTTAATCCTTTGTGAGGGAAGGGTATTTCTAGTCTGCATTGCATCTATTCCTAATTCTGTTCTGAAATATTCTTGTTGCTTGAATCATCTGTGTTTAAAAGAACATGAAAATGAAGCATCAACATTTGCATTTATATGACCAAAAATGGTGTGGACAAGATTGTGGCATTATCTTGTTTACTGAATTAATATAAAATAATAACCAGGAATTTCTGTCTCATTGTGCTTCCCCAAACCACACGCTCAACTTGGTGAATGTTTTATTTTGTTAAGAGATTGCTCCTATAAATGCCAGATTGGTCCTACACATTCCATAAATGGAAGTTCCCAGTCCTAATGCACACAAAGTCTCACAAATGCATAGCTAACATCCCCCTATTGAGTACAAAAAAATACACTACTAGAGGAACTAGACATGAACCTAATCTAATGTCATCCCATTGACTTCAATGGAACTGAATCATTTTGTATCTGAGGCAGGGTTCCTCACAATATTATCTTCCCTAGATTCTTCAGTAGGTGCACATCACTGAACAAACAAACGTAAATGTAAAGCAGCCAGCTGAAGTTTTTCTACTTATCAAGGTCACTAAAGGCTTTGAGATTATGACTAATTCAAATTTAGAAATATGCAGTTGGGCCTACTGGAACTGATTGAGGGATGAAAGTAGGTCACATCCTAAGTGCCTTGCCTTCCTCATTTGAAACATGAGAAGACAAAGGCTGCAACCCAAAAGATACTGACTTGATGTAATTTAGCTGAATTCAGCGGCTGATTAGGATAATCTTGAAAGGCCATAGTCCTGAAACTGCAGAGTTATACTACTGGTTTCTGTGAGACCACTACAAAGAATAAATAACCAAGGCTTGAAAACTGTGCCTCAAGAAACCTGCCCGCATTGCAGAACTACTATATCCCAACCTCATTTTATAACCAAGTTCACTTTACAACCAACTTTCCTCTTGGGCCTAGTTAGTTAGATAACTCTAGCAGCTGTCACTTTATCCCAAGATAACTTGCAGAGAATAAACGAAATTAAGCCACTTCCTCTTGTTTCTAAATCCTATATAAGGCAGCAATCCTCAGACATGGGTGAAAGAAATAACAGAGGCAGCAGAAGTCTCCGATCAGTCTGAGAAAGCAAAGGGCTACAGGTTATGCTATGGAGTCTGGGATTAGGTCTCCAAATTTTCAGAGAGTTCTTTTCCGAAACTATAAACAAGTGTGGCCCACAACTTAGCCTGGATGGTTCTTCATACAATGCGTGGTCACTATGCTCTTTAATGCCTATAGGAATGGACATTAAAATGGAAAATTACCACCTGGAGGGTGTAGCATAATGGTTGAAAAAAAAAACTGGCCATCACTAGACTCAGTAATAGCTTAGTTTGCACTAGATGATCTCAAAAGTATTACTATACTTTTAACAACTATCCGTACCCAGATACCAGCCTTAACACCCCTGCAATGACAGAACATTTGTCACCTGTATTGTAACACTGTGCCGCCACCATTCTTTCACACCCTATTTTAAAATACTTTGGCTTGTTTAAGCTTCAGTGCCCATTGCAAATACCAGTCATCAAATATCCTCAGCTACCAGCATAACATCCCCAGCTACCAGCAAACAATTCTCTATCATTCTTAGTATCCTCTGTCCTTCCTTTTGAGAGGATGATGTGCATCATGTATAATCCTATACTGCAGCCAGGTTGCAACTCTCATCACCCCTTAGCATGGGCTATGCTGTCAAGGGTTGATAGACAAGTTGCAGTCCAGCAACCTCTGGAGGACCAAAAGTTTACCACCTAACTGAGAGTTTTGTGTCCAGGGGAATTTTGTTTCTTTGTTTGGTCTTGTCCAATTCAAAGTGTGATCCATCACCATGAATAAGCATCTATTCAAAGTGGGAACCGATACCCTAACAGCCTGTTCTACCATACAAAAGTCATACTAGATCACTATTGACATACTGCTGCTTGGCAATGTAGAAGCTGTTGCCACCTGTTATGATGCACACACAGCCCCTTTCTGTGGAGGGTGAAGTGCTGGTGTCTAGATCCTTATAATGATCTCCCCATAGGAAACAAAATATAACACAACCAACATTTTGTTCTTTGCTAATGGTATGTATAAAGACAACTATTCTAGCTTTAGGATGTGTCAAACACTGTCTTTTGGTGCATGTGTGTATTTTTCAGTAACTAAATATTCATGACTTTGAGGTCTTGGGCAACAATACTGAGCAGTACTTCTATCATTTCAACAGCTGTGCTCTTAAAGGACATCCATGGTAGGGTACATTTTAATTTCTGTATAGCAAAAATAATTGTTTCTAAAGTTGTATATTAGAACTGTATACACTGTATAAAAATATTTTCAGGATAAATCGAAAATATTGAAATAAGCTTATTGTAAACAAAAATAAATGGCATGTTGTTTACACCAATTTAAATGTCCACCCCAAATTAACTTGAGTCTTAATATCTTTATATATTTCAGCAAAATTTAAGTAACCAATAAAGGAGCCATGATAAATGCAAATAACTGTTGGTCAATCTATAATATCTGATGTAGAAAATGGAATAAACTCACACTACCCTGCTAATGTGTTATTTTCACAATTAGGTCAGGTCACTGGTAGCCTACTATGGAAAGTATGTTCGCTGGATTATGCTACAAAAATCAAACCTAAATCAGCTATTTGTCACATGGGCACAGCTCTTCCCTCTCTGAAATATAATGTTGGCATTTCTCTGTTAATGCCAGAGTATAAATATTCGCCTACTGAGACAATCAAGTGGCTGCACTCCATGAAGTAGACCTGATAAAAGGTAACGGCAGCCCAGCAAAACTTACGCCAAATTAAACCTTTTTCGTCTTTAAGGGGCCACAAGTCTCTTTGCTGCTCAAATATACTGGCCTAGTTGTGGCACAGCAACCACTTTTATCATTTCAGTTACCAGGGAGACTCTAATACCCGCTAGTGCCACACACAATCAACATGGATGTGAACTAAAGACACATGCAAAACAAAAGGTCCTCCCACTGATTAGCAAAAGCCTTTCGGATCAGTAGGCACCATTTGGAAAGTTATAGAGCTATATTTCTTTCATTATGTCTAAATATATTAATTTTCTATAGATGCTACCATTTTTGAAAAGCATAGTAAAGAAGGCAACATTATGTTGGCCTTTATTTTAATCTTAATGCCTATGCCAAACGGACATACTGACTGCATTTGGGTATCACGATAAATCACAGTTTACAAGCTGAGGCAGGCCTTGCTCCACATGCCCTCTCTCTTCAGTTCAGAGAAATGTCTGATATTCCCTTCACAGCTAAAAAGGAGAACACAAGAGCGTGAGCACCTATGGCCCTCCCTTCCTATTATAAACAATCCATAACTTAATGTAATGTCTATATGCAGTCAATGTCATGTTGTCTAACTGCAGGGGCACAGCAGCTGTTGGCATACCCTTAGTTAAGCTTTTATTTGATGGCTCATCAAGTTTGTAAATCAAAGAAATATGACAATTAAATCATTACAGGAATGTTTTCACTAAATTATTACAGTTCTATCCAATTCACCTAAGAAGCTCTTGAACATTTAAATTCACTCAACGTTTTTCCCGTTCACTCCATTATTAAGACCAAGCTGGAGTTTCATATGTTTTCTCTATACATTTTTCTTGATAGTAATAGCAACAAATATCTTCTGTAAAAACAATGAGAGTGTTGCTTGTGAGGACTTTACCATGATGTTGGGAAATCAAATGTGTTCAGTGAAAAGGCAGCTCATGCATGTATTCTCCTTCTCTTTAAACTTCTCTTGAAGGAGTCAATAGATTCCATTTAATTCTCCATGCTTTTTACCAGCACTTGGTTACTTCTGAGACATGAAGTCCAACCATATAATTAGAAGAGTGTGTTTGATATACCACAACTGACTGGAAAATGTGGATTGATGGATGTACAAAGGTGTGTTGCAGGAAACTGCTACATGTATTGATTAAGCATTACTCTTCACTCTTCTTAGCATCTGGATGTTTACAGGTTTAATTTCAGCAAAAGCCCCAGAGGATGAAAACAACCTTGTGGAATAAACGGACAACCCACCAGAAGGTTTGAATCATTTTTTGATAAGCAACCTTCTACACACTTCTTCTTCCAGCAACTCCTTTGCAGGCTATAGCAGGAACTGTGTTGTCATTCAATCTTCTCAAGATGGCTACTTCCATTTATATACTTCAATGGTGCTGAACTTTGCTTCCCATAATGTATCAACGGCTTACATAGTCTGTTTATGCGCTCTGGTAAGCAGGTGTGATTTTTGCCGTTCTTGGAAAAGGATCTCAAAAAGCTACTTGAAGTAGTTGTAATCAAAGGGTAAAGGCTGACAAATCAATAGAGGAGACTGCTTGACACTCTACAAAAGTTCTAAAAACACTGATCTAGAAAAGACAGAACAAGTCCTTATGTTATTCTTCTCCTTTAAAAGAAGAAACAGCTTCTTTAGTAGTAGTCCTCATAGTTCTTAGGGTTCAGGCAATAAAGTATGGCACCTCCAAATGAAAATATAGTTGCACCCCAGGCTAGGCCATAGCCCCAGTTGAACTCATGGTATATTCTCAAATTGACAGTTTCGATGAACTTGATTGGGTAAAGGACAAGACTGCACACCTGAAGAACCACTGGGAAAAGACAGAAAAAATAAAGAATAAAAAAGACACCATGTCACATGTGAGCCTTCAATTGTTTTCTTAGAGGAAATCTACTACTAAATCAACAAGACATATAATCTGGATACGTTCATACAACATATTTAGAAGTATCGTGAAACTGAACTGTATGATGGAAGCACATATTTGAATAACCTCAGTATAAAAATAACATTTATAAAATCAAAAGGGTTGCAGATCTGCTCAATTATATTATTTCTTGCTACAGTACTTGTTTTTTTAAAAAATATATATATATATTTAAAATGTTAAACTCTGTCTTTCCTCAATAACCCTGACAATACTAACATAAGTTAACATGTCAATAGCTTTTTGAAAAATTAACAGCTTGGTAGTCCCATTCTTGTGTTAGTGAATTATAGTAACTTTGTCTATTATTTGTACCGCAGGTTCATCATGGGCCTCCACTAGGGCACCTTACTATACTAAGGAACCAGAGTTTGGCCATTAAAACAGAGGGAAATAAACAAATGAGGCAAACAATTCAAACAACATTCAAAACAGGCATAAATTTCAGGAGCATAACGTGTGATAGTTTGAGATTCTGAAGAATGAACAATAAATACTTTCTATTACCATCCCATAATTCCTTTTCTTTTCATACATGCTTAACTGCAGCAGAACGCAGGTAACTAACTTAATGCTGTCTATAATTACAGTATATCACAATGGAGTCAGAAAAATAATAAAAGTTAATGAAGAAATCTAATACAGGAAAGCTCATTTATCATGCCTGATCCCCTGAAATAAGTAACATTAATTAGCAGCTATTTTAAGAGAATTCACATGGAATTGTATATTAAATACATATAACCTCCAAGTTAAATTCTGTTTAATATTTAGCATCCCTACCAAATACATATACTTATCATCTTTGTAATAGAATAAATGTTTCCCAGTAACTGAACACTAAAATACTTGTTTTGCACAGTACATACTGAGATCAAAAATTTATCATGTTTTCTTTTAAAATTGTAAAGCAAAGGTATGATAGCAGAAACTTTAATATGGATGTCTAAGCAACTCTCGTAATGAGGGTGAAAGAGGAGAGTGCAAAAAATGATCTGAAGCTCAACATAAAAAACTAAGATCATGGCCACTGGTCCCATTACCTCCTGGCAAATAGAAGGGGGAGATATGGAGACAGTGACAGATTTTACTTTCTTGGACTCATGATCACTGCAGGTGGTGACAGCAGCCACAAAATTAAAAGACACCTGCTTCTTGGGAGGAAAGCAATGACAAACCTATACAGCATCTTAAAAAGCAGAGACATCACCTTGCCGACAAAGGTCTGCATACTCCAAGCTATGGTTTTTTCCTTTAGCTATGTATGGAAGTGAGAACTGGACCATCAAGAAGGCTGACCACAGAAGAATTTATGCTTTTGAACTGTGGTGCTGGAGGAGACTCTTGAGAGTCCCCTGGACTGCAAAGAGAACAAACCTATCCATTTTGAAAGAAATCAACCCTGAGTGCTCACTGGAAGGGTAGATCCTGAAGCGGAGGCTCCAATACTTGGCCATCTCATGAGAAAAGAAGACTCCCTGGAAAAAACCCTGATGTTCAGAAAAAGTGAAGGCAAGAGGAGAAAGGGACAACAGAGGATGAGATGGTTGGATAGTGTCACTGAAGCGACCAACATGAATTTGACCCAACTCCGGGGGGCAGTGGAAGACAGGAGGGCCTGGTGTGCTCTGGTCCATGGGGTCATGATGAGTTGGACATGACTAAACAACAACAACAAGCAATTCAACAAACAACCATTGGTTTTCTGAGAATAGCTGTGAAGTCAGCTTCTTTTAAGTTTAATATTAAAATAAGCACATTGTACCTTGACAACATGAATGTCTTGATACTAGTAACTAATCAAGAGGCTCATGGTGGAGTGGCTAAATTACAGTACTGCAATTTAGGTTGTGAGGACTCTTGAGGACTCGGCGAGCTGGCTCAAATGGACTCAGCCTCCCATCCTTCTAAGGTCAGTAAACTGAGTACCCAGTTTGCCGGGGTGGGAGTGGTAGGTAGCAATGTGTAGCCTACATACTTAAATTGTAAACCACCCAGAGAGTGCTTTTTAAGCACAGTGGGGCAGTATATAAGCAGAACACTTTGCTTTTTTTGCTTCAATCAATCAGTCAGTCAGTCAATAAATAAGTAAAATGAAGATGATGTGCATCAGAGCTCTCCTTCTCTTTCATTTTCTTCCTGTGCCTTCTTGCTTCTCCCCACAGTCTGTCCTTCTGCTCACTAATTTCCTTGCTTTGCCCTTCCATCCCCCATCTTGCATGTTTTCAGTGCATGGCTGTTGTGCATGGCGGAATAGATATAGTGGTGGAAGCAGTCATAAGAGTGAGTTTTGGACACTGAGGATATAACAGGCTTATACTGGAATTGATCGCAAAAGGGGCAGGTCACAAAGCAAGTTAGATTCCCTGTATATTTTTTACCAAAGTCCAATGCTCCAGGAGAGCTGATAATTTTCTTTTAAGATCATAATCATTATCACCCTCCTCCAGATAGCTCAAATCAATGATTCTGTCTATGTCTTTCATTTAGGGTGGCAAATATTCTGTCCCTCATTAGAAGCCCTAAAGTTTTCAGAGCACTGTTACAATCAGTAGCTCTCTGTTCAGAATATTGCTTGGTCTAACACAGCTGCTGATTGGCTCTCACTGATCCAGTTCATCCATGAAACACCACGTAAGTTTGGAACTGCCCATAAGAACTTAAGAGCCTCGTGGCGCAATGGTTAAACTGCTGTACTGCAGCCAAAACTGTGCTCACGACCTGGGGTTCAATTCCAGGTAGCTGGCTCAAGGTTGACTCAGCCTTCTCTCCTTCCAAGGTCAGGAAAATGAGTACCCAGCTCGCTGGGGCGGGCGGGCAATGTGTAGCCTGCATAATTAACTTGTAAACTGCCCAGAGAGTGCTTGAAGCACTATGGGGCATTATATAAGCAGCATGCTTTTTTAATGCCCAGCTTTGAAGAAGATGATTTATCATCGAAATCTCACTATTGGTTTATTTGTTTTTGTTTTGTTTAATATAATATGCCTAATGGTCGATTAAATATATCATCTGTTCCTGCTTAGCCTTGGATTTTCTTCTCCTGTAGTGGGCTTTTGAAGAATCTCCTTCCCTTACACTTAAGACTCTGAGCAAGCAGATTATGCATAAAATATCTACATTTAAGAATACTGAGTAATGAGGAGCTGAGATTGTCTCAGAGAACGTACATATCACAGGTAAAACAAAATTGCTGCTTTCACCACTGCAGATCTCTGTAGCTTTAGACCAGTGGCTCCCAAACTTGGGTACCCAGACGTTCTTGGACTACAATGCCAAGAAATCCTGTCCAACATAGCTAGTAGTGAAGGCTTCTGGGTTTTAGTCCAAGAACATCTGGGGAATCAAGCTGGCAACCACTGCTTTAGATCCTCAGTATACACATACCAAGAAATCCATCCCACTTATTTCATCGGGACATCCTCTCAAGTAGGTCAACACAGAATTGTTGTCTACTTATCACTCTGCAATTCATGTATTTTCTTGGTAGTGCTGGTAGTGCTGAAGAAAGTCTTTATTTTATTTCATGACTCAAGAGTTTTCTGTCAACAAACTGAGATAGTCAACATATGTGAAATGTTCTACTCCAAAAGGTGAGGATCCATGAGACCCAGAAGCAAAGGTGTGTAAACTAACAAAAAATTATTTTCATGTCTATTCTCTTTGGACATTTCACAGGAGATGCCTGGATCCCAGCCCAGTTTTCTCTTTGGCTGGAAGTCTATATAATTTCCCATGCCCTGTAAAATATCAGCTGGGAAACTGATCCTGCTTCCTCAGTTTTTAATGTCAACGGCACTTTCATGTATCTTGCTCTCTGCTATGGGTCGCACTTTGAATATCTGCATTACCGTGTTTGAGATATAGGGTTCAAGGTGCAAAGAGAAGCAGCATTTGAAATGTTAATGGGAACAGGTACTCTGGAATTAGCTTTTAAAAGAAGACACCATTATTGGACTCGACCAATAAAACAGCATGAAGAGCAACATGTTTTTCATGAATCCATTTTGCAAACTTCTTTGAAAGATTATGAGAAGTCTAGTACACTGGTTCTTAACCTTGGGTTACTCAGGAGTATTGGACTGCAACTCCCAGAAGCCTTCACCACCAGCTGTCCTGACTGGGGTTTCTGGGAGTTGCAGTTCAAAAGCATCCGAGTAACAAAAGTTAAGAACCACTGTTCTAGTATACATAAACATATTGTCCAATTTCCTTAGTAAACTGCAATGGTTGAAAGAAAATAGTGGAAACAGCAGGGGCAGAATATAATACCCCTTATAATTACAGTTCTTGAAATACTTGAAGAGCCTATCTTTCAACAGCTTTATAAATGAATTTCTTAAATCCATCTAGCAGAGTAGAAATTTCTCTCATTCTCTCCATTATGGGCTATTAGAGTAGCCCACTGTTTCAGTTTCTGCACACACATGATTGACAGAATGAAGGAAAACTATGGAAAAAAATTGGGAGGGGAAGCCCCCGCAGAGTAGAAATTTCTGTCATTCTCTCCATTATGGGCTATTAGAGTAGCCCACTGTTTCAGTTTCTGCACACACATGATTGACAGAATGAAGGAAAACTATGTTTGGAAAAAAATTGGGAGGGGAAGCCCCTTTTATCATTGGACAATCCAACAGACATTGGAATGCACAGAGAAATATGATTTCATTGTGGCTTTTTCAAATTGCATTAGATCGTGTTATTTATGTTGCTCTGTTTATGTTTTTTAAAGAAGTATTTCTGTGCACAAATTCTTTCCTTTGATGCTTTGAAAAATGAAATAAAGGGTTTACAGTGTGAGGGTTGTTGAAGTTAATAACAAAAAATAAACCTGAGGCAATGAAATTTATTTTTCCTGTGGAGTGTGAGGAAGCTATAAGCACCTTTCAGTTTAATCTGATTTATTTTCCTATGAATATTTTCTAAAGCTAATACTTAAAAAAGTTTTCTTTGACAAATTTGAAGAGAATAGCATTCAGCTTATCAGAGAATGCAAAGACAGCAAGTTTTTTTAAAAAAAAAAAACCAACACCATCAAAAGTTCACATAAACGACTCAGCCTACAAAAACTCATCTACAACATAGTGTGTTTTAAAGCAGCACTTGATATTACAAAACTCTAACGTATAATACAGCTGGCTAGATAGCTCAGTGGTTTAGGTATCAGGCAGTAGAGCCAGAGGTTGGGAGTTTGATTCCCCACTGTGACTCCTCGGAGAAGAGCCAGCCTCCATACTCGTGGGCAAGCTACAGAGTCCCAGGGTGCCTCTAAAAGAATGGAATGGTAAACCACCCCTGAGTATGATCTACCTAGAAGAGCCTGGAAAGGGTTGCCATAAGTCAGAATTGACTTGAAGACACATAATTACTATATTAACATATAATAACAATGTAGGATTTATTTGTTCTGATAGTTAGCCTAGATGACACAAGTGTCAACCTTCTCCAGGCAGTGCTATTCCTGGAGACTTTATATTGTGAATTAAGCTTACTGTGAACTGTTGGACATACATGTCCCTATTGAGGGGGGAGGGGGATTGACAAAGCAAGAGCAGTGTCTCACTCCTAAATTTTAGATGGATTGCCCCACCCAGTTCCAGTCATGAGCCACTTACGATTTCCCACATGGCTAACTTTGTTCATAATAGGCTTCCATGACACAAACATATACATAATTCTATTGAAGAATTTAATGATATGAATTTTCACTTTGGGCAGGAGCCACCATTAGTCATTTAAACGGATGAAATCCCATTAAGTTTAGTAGGTCTGCTCTAAACATGATTAACCTTGCAATTCTGATTGGTCAAAATGCCCAAAAGCCAGCTTAACATAGAGCTTAGAGATAAAGCCAATGTGTAGCCTGCATAATTAACTTGTAAACTGCCCAGAGAGTGCTTGAAGCACTATGGGGCTGTATATAAGCAGCATGCTTTGCTTTTGCTTTGCTTTTTAACCGGTGTGTGCTGAATTCAGACCTCACCCAGCCTAGAGATGCTGGACATTACTTAAGACCATTCTTCTCTGATCCTAACTTTGAGCTGGCATTGTGATTATCTCCTTGGATCTGGAGTAACTCAGCTCTTTTCTTGCTCCATATCTTGTATGATCCCCTTTTGGCTTTTCTGTTGACCGAACTTAGCTAGCAGAACAAGTCTTCAGAGTGCTTTGTTATAAAAACTCTGAGAACAACTGGCGGAAGCAGATTCTGATGGGACAAGGAGCTTTCTGGTGGCAGGTGAGTCTTTTGCTGAGTTATAACCTACTACAACCATTACCGTTTTGAAGTAGAACCACACTGCTAAGTCTGGATCCCACATTTTACTAAAAACAGTTTAAATACTGTTTAAATTAAATTAAATTCAGTATTGGATTACTAGGTAAAGGTAAAGGTTCCCCTTGACATTTAGTCCAGTCGTGTCTGACTTTAGAAAGTGGTGCTTATCCCAGTTTCTAAGTTGTAGAGGCAGCGTTTGTCCATAGACAGTTTCTGTGGTAATGTGGCCAGCACGACTAGACATGGAACACTGTTACCTTCCCAGCGTGCTGGTACCTATTTATCTACTTGCATTTGCAAGCTTTTGAACTGCTAGGTTGGCAGGAGCTGGAACAAGCAACCCCCCGTTGTGTGGATTCGATCCTACGACTGCTGGTCTTCCGACCTTGCAGCACAGAGGCTTCTGCAGTTTAACCCACAGCGCCACCACGTCCCTTGGATTACTATTGTTTGGCACATGAGACTGAAGAGGCCAAAACGTGAAAATAACTGCAAAGAACTGCTGAATCACTTGAAACTCTCCAGCTTTCATCAGAGAAACATGTGGTAGTCTTAACAGTAGACTTCTACATGTTTTATTATACGAGATAAGTGGAGTTAAGAATTCATGGGAAAAATGTGACCAGTCTGTGTTCTAGAATGAAACTGAACCATCCTATGATTTTTCTTGTCAACATAAAGAAAATCTAATTACATTGAATATTCAACAACTTGTATACAACCTAAGGCAATGAACTAATTATTCCTGGATCACAGGGTGTAAGTTACATCTATTCTCTGCACAAGTGTAAAGCTTCACCTATATATGAGAATTAAAACTTTATTAGTATATTCACATATTAGGCAAATGCAGCTAGACCACAAGATTGTTAGTCAGGAGTATACTTTTCAAGTCAGAAAAAATCTTTCTTTGCAGTTTCCCAACTCTTATCTGAGTCAAGACTTATATGTAAAATATAAATCATCAAATGTTTATATATTTGAGAGAAGCAATTTGTTTACCTGCAGCAAACAGCATGACAGCAACTGGCCTGTAGAACCGCCTCCGTGAGCCAACACAGATAGAAATTAATCCAACCAAGAAAGCTATAAGAATTATTGCAGCACCACCCAACAGCATAGAAAGTGTAGCGATCTGCCAATCTGTAGAGAGACAGAAATGATAGTACTGTAGTTGAAGCTGGACACTAACGTATACAAATATATATCTGTGGAGGTGGCAGTAGATACAGAAGATCTTTAGTAAATAAATGCTCACTTGGAACATTAGAACAAATAAGTTCATTTATGCTTTTTTTCCAAGAGCTTTACCCACAGGTTGACAATTTTTCTCAGATTTAAGATACTCTCAGAGTGTATTTTCCTTTAAATATAAAAGAAAAGCAAGACTTTGTATATTGAAAATATGTTCACTATTCATCTTACCAATCATTCAATATGTACAAACACTTTTTTTTCTGGACAAAATGTTGATAGGAACAACTGAACATACCTTTGACTTGCAGCACAACCCTGGCATGCTTCCTCAGAAGCATATCACATTGTGCTGTGTAGGGTTTACTCTCTGGGAAGTGTGCACTGAACTGAATCTCAAAATAGCAACAGTTTAAACAGTTTGGCAAAACTTCATGAGACAAAGATAGATTGGGAAAATTCATGATAAAATTAACAGGAGCTATTTGCAAATTAATACACCTTGATTTCAACAATTAAATAGTCACAATTATTAATGGCCTAATAAGCTTAGTTACATCCTAATGATGAATGAAACATGAAGACATGAAGGTGAATTTACACTTCTTGATTACTATTTCAGAGGCATCTGTTCAGGGTCTGGTCCTATGGAATCCTGTAAAACAAAATCTCACCAATCCACTGTTTGTCAGGAGCAGGGGTGGACTCAATTCAAGCCTCCAGTCCTTATGGTTACATTTTGGTATGTAGTACATGTGCAATACTGAAATAATGACTTAAGCAGAGCACATAAATGCAAAATACTGACACAGGCAGAGGCAACATGTTAATTCCTTACGTATGACCATATCATGATGGAATTATATATAAAAAATGCACCGCCAAGTCATATGACTGATGGCCATGCTAACAGGGGTTCTCAAGGTACATGAGATATTTAAGGAGTAGTTTTGCCATTGCCACTCTGCCCCACTGTTTCTCTGTCTGAACTGGGATTTCAACCGAGGTCTCCTGAGTCCTAGTTCAACCCATTATCCACTACATGACAGTGTCTCTCTTTGAGGTATATACTCTACAAAAATTGTATATGGAAGTACTCAAACGCTGGAGGTATCCAAGTGAAAATTGGATAACTATCTCTCAGATCTTCTTTGATTTGGGTTCCTCCATTGATCAGGGTGTGGGCCCCTTGCAACTCAATTATTCTATGATTCTAAGTATAACTGTCTAGGGATATGCTTATGTTGCTGAGGACCGAATGCTGCTAATGTGCATAGCAAACTGTCATGACTCATTTAATGAGGAGGACTTTTTTTAAAACAATGTTTACTGAATAGGACACATTCTTATAGGTGCATCACTAATGGTTACATAACCAGGTGTCATTTTCATTTATCTAGAAATTGCATTGAAATCAGAACAGCAGAAAGTGCTCGTTTTTAAATTTTCAGTTAAAAAAATACTTCATAACAGTTTAAGCTACATAAGAGTTGGTTTTATGTCAGGACAAAAGTTTATTACAACTTTTGAGATTTCGTTTTCCTGCTGCCTAATCTCAATGTTGTATTAATTTTGAAAAAAAGACTTCTTGACATAAGAAATAGGGCACTATGTTATATAATTGATCGCACAAAACCAGGTTGAACACAACACACCAAATCATTCTGAGATGGAATTTTCAAAGCCAAGTTAATGAGTGCAGTGGGTTAAAATCCCCCAGCTAATTTAAAATATCTTAATGCAGAACCTCTGACTGCTCTTCAAGCTAATGAAATTTAACAAGAGCTTAGGCTGTCATCTAACAGCTTCTACATACTAGCACTAGTGCTGTGGCATATGTATAATATTTATCTTACTCTATGCATAAAAACGCAATACAACATTAAAAGTACAGATTATAAAACAGAGTATCTTTCAAAATACTGTGTGCTGCAATACCCAAGTTAAACCGAAAACCTATCTTATTTTTGGGACATCATTAATCTCTCATAAAAGTAGCTTTTTTTTGGAGACTTTCCAATGCTGGGGTGATGAATCTTAAGAACGTTGCACTGACACTCCCAGAATTCTGCCTCGGAAATTTTTGAAGTATTCTGGAAGCTGAAGTATAATTCATTTCATGAATTTGTCAAACCTCATATTAAATTGTTCTAAAATTGGGCTAAGTAGTGACATTGAGCCATCAAGGGAGTATGATATTGTGAGCCGCCCTGAGTAGGCTCCTGTCTAGAAGGGTGGGATAAAAATCTAATAAATAAATAAATAAAATATGAGCTAAAGCTGACAATGCTACCATATCAACATGTTTTACTATGCTAAATGGATTAAATTCATGTCTGTTACATCCATACATGGTACTTTGTCAACTGCAACATGGGGATCTGATTCAGTTGGAAATTTCATTAAAATACATTTTTGTTTCTCATATTTATTTTCTTCATCTGAGGCATGGGTGCCACATGGAGCTCAAGTCTTTTTTGCCAATATATAGTAATGTTATTGCTTTTTTATTTTGTCGCATAACTCAGAGACAGAACCTCGTGGTTGTCACTGAAATTCTCTAAGCATATATGTATGTAATCTACATTGATGGTCTAGCCACAGCTGTGCAAGCATGCATAATCTCAAGATTAGATTACTCCAGTGCACATTTATGTAGCTCCTCCTTGACTTTTGTCTAGAAGTTATAGCTAATGCAGAATGCAATTGCCTACATAGGTAATGCTTCCTATAAACATGCAATGTCGTTGCTGCAGGTTTTGCTCTAGTTGTTTATTTGTTACCAGGCCAGGGTCAAGCTTCTCTTATTAGTGAAGACAACCTTAAACAGTATGTGGTCATGACACCTAAGAAATGTCTTCTCCCCTTTCATCCTATCTTATCCCTGAGATCTTTGGAACAGGAACTCTGTGGGTCAGAGAGCCACATGGAAAGCACTAGGGAAAGAATCTGTAGGGTATCTACTCCCATTCTGTGGAACGCCTTCCCAATTGGGGATAGACACACACCTACACTTATTTCTTTTCAGTGTCTGCTTTCCTTTCCTGACTGGTAAACTTCATCCCAATTCATAAATGTACTTATTTTGGATAAATTGTTTTATTTATTTATTTATTTATTTATTGCATTTGTAGACCCACCCATCTAGTCAACTGACTACTCTGGGCGGTTTCCAATGCATATAATAACAATAAAAAATATAACATTAAACATTTTATCTTACTGTACACTTCCCTGAAATATACATTCTGTAAATAAATAATAAATCAATATTCCATTTAAAGTAATAAGAAATTAGAAGTCCCATGTGTCATTAGAGTTGTGTTTTGATGGAACATGCACACTGGGCCGCAACAATGTTAGTAAGTGGTAAAGCAACAGACATAGACGTGTTCAGCGATTTCAGAAATGGACTCAGGGGGGGGGGCTCAACATTAACAACCTGGCTATGATAGATTTTACCTATTTGCAGGAGCGTTCTTATGTCTGATTATTTTATGAGGTTAATAAATAGCCTGACATATTCAGGTCAATAACTTTAAAACACATGATTAGAAACATACATTCATTTGACTAATAAAGTATAATGAAAGTGTACCAACGGAATGTAACTGCCATGAAGGCAACAACAAAAGAACTGATGTTATAAAATTGATTAATGTATACAATCAGTATCTAAAGCACAGGGAAAATATATATGACAATATTAAAGAATGCACAGATGGCTATTTAAGGTCTCCCATCACATATCCCCTCCAGTGCAATTACTTTAAGAGCAGCTGCTGTGGAGCCCTAGTAGGTATGTTTGCTACAAACATCCAATATCTTATCACCTCCAATCTATCTGTTTCAGAATTTGCCACCGCTTTTGTCTTGTTTTAGAAACGCACATGTTACTCTTCTATAAGACAGATAGGCCCTTGTTACTGAAAAAGGTAGTAGTAGTGTGTTCTAGTATGTTCTCACTGTACTGTCCAAACAAACATTTTGTAAGTCACCTGCTCTACATTCACCCCACTGCCACTTCCCCACCTCCCATAACTTGCATTTGGACCAAACCCAAAGTTTGGAAGTAACCAGTATCAATAATCAGCTATCTCTGATTAGTCCTTTTTCCAAATAAATAAAGGATATGCATGTTAGACTATGAGAGTAATGTAATGAAGAATATATTCACTTCTTTTGCAGTGTAACTCAAACCTTTTTGTTATTTGTATAGCTACAAGGGCGTGGCTGCACTAAATAACAGAAGAGAAATATCACATGTTTCGTGTCCCAGTTATTCTTGTATATCATTCTGCTATACTCATATTTTCCAAGTAACTAAAATAGTTACATCTTCATAAGTGGGAAACAAAAGAATTGCATTTTAAACATTGTTATTATTGACCAACTATTTTTTGGGCCTTGGAACTACAGCTTTTCAAAATTGACTTTTCAAACCTCCTATTTAGAGAAGCAGGCATCTAGTCCAATTTCTTCAGATCAAGTCCTTGAAGAAGGTAGTGGGAAACAAAAGAATTGCATTTTAAACACAAAATAGGCCCAATTTTTTGGGCCTTGGAACTACAGCTTTTCAAAATTGACTTTTCAAACCTCCTATTTAGAGAAGCAGGCATCTGGTCTAATTTCTGCTTAATGATCTTCAGATCAAGACCTTGAAGAAGGTTGAAGCTGATTTTGTTTTATTTGCTCATTCCTGAAAAGGGGAAATTTAGGGCTTTCCTAAAAAACAAAGGTTTCCAAAAATTCTCTTAGCTGGCACAGCCATTGGGTAAGCTGCTGGGGGTATTCCAGCATCCAATTTCTTCAGATCAAGTCCTTGAAGAAGGTAGAAGCTGATTTTGTTTTATTTGCTCATTCCTGAAAAGGGGAAATTTAGGGCTTTCTTAAGAAACAAAGGTTTCAAAAAAATTCTCCTAGCTGGCACAGCCATTGGCTAAGCTGCT